TTGACAGTTTATTTATCGCAGTCGACGCTGATTGGTTAGCGTTTAGCAGATGCGAAAAGGGGATGAATGAATAAAACGCATGGTTCCGTGCAGGCTCACCTTTCTCCCAGTGAGCCTGTTCGCAGGCTATGTGTTGTATAACTCATGCAGGGTTCGTAGCTGTTTTTAAAATCTTCGAAAGTCTTTAAATTTGAATTTAGGGTCTTTGAAAGGTCTATGCATTTAATGAAAAAGCGAAGTCTTCCAGTTTCTTGGTGATAATTGCTACTCTCTCCTCCGCAAAGGCTTTTCAAGAACTAATTTAGAAATACTTTCGTAATTGCGCCGGAAGGTAAAAAAAAAAGTATGTGAAAGTAACCGCTTAAATTCGGGGCGCGGGAGAGTAGGGAAGGGAAAACGCTTGTCAGCGCAGAACATTTGTAATGACGCGTAGGTAAAATTCGAAACCATCGACGGTCGAGCACATCAAGTGCTTAAATGGCCTGGCACCAGTGTATTTGCCTCATGATTTCAACTTAGTTTATATATTGACACACACACATAACAGTTTCATAAATGGCTTGATATTTTGTTCATAAATAGCCTAATTCATTCTGCAAACTTGTATGTTCTATGTAAATGCCATGTTTGTAATTTTTTTTGTTATTGAAGCACGACTCCGTTTGAAACAGCCAACGGTTGGCCAAATATAGTCACATAAATTTGAAGCAAAAAGTGTAAGGATTCTTGAGATATATTGAGGATTGTCACAGATATCGTCAGTTTGTTACAGATATTGTCACATCTCGGGCAGAGGCTTTCTGGCGCTTTCCCTTCTCTCCTGCGCCCGCCCACCGCATTTTAGCGGTTACTTTCACCTTTGTTTTACCTTCTAGCGCCACTACGAAATTCTTTCTAAATTAATCCTTTAAGAGCCTCTGCGAAGAAGAGAGGTATTGCTAAAAACGCTTCCATAGCTATAGTAAAATATATCGATTGCAGAAAAAGAAGATGCATTTTAGAATGTGATTTGACGGGACCAATACCGGGTAAAAATGGCGCTTATACAATTGTAATTTTTCAACAGCCGATTGCTCATAAAGGTCTTTGAAAAGTCTTTGAAAATAGGCTGAAAAGTTTTTGAAAGTCTGTGAAATTTTTTGGTCTTGGTGACTACGAACCCTGCTCATAGTATTATGTGTTGTATAACTTTAAGTAGGGGCTAGTTCAACAGTTTACGAGTTAGTTCAACGATGATTTAATGAGTGCATGATTTAGTGGTAGTATGTAGTTTGGGACAATCCAATAACGATCCAGTAACTGGATGACAGTTCTATGTGTATTGTATAACTCAAAGTATTGTGTATTGTATAACTTTTAGTAGGAGCTAGTTCAACACTTTAGGAGCTAGTTCAACGATGATTTAATGAGTGCATGATTTAGTGGTAGTATAACGGTACAATCCAGTAACGATCCAGGAACTGGATGGCAGTTCTATGTGTATTGGATAACTCAAAGTATTGAGTATTGTATATCTTTTAGTAGGAGCTAGTTCAAAAATTAGCGATGATTTATCGAGTGCATGATTTAGTTGTAGCGGGCAAATATAGCACACTTAGCATGACAATTAGCCATTTCACAATGGAGAGATGACTGGGTCTAGTCGCTTGTTTGGAGGGACAAAAAATAAACAATATGCCCAATTTGGCATCTATCATTCTCGTACCCAGAGCCCTTCTTACGCGCGGTGTGACGAGGGGCTCTGGCCAAAACCGGATACCGTAAAAACATGGTAAAAGAATATATCCGGTATTAGAACAATAACCTTCGTTGTAGCCAATCAGATGCCAGTTTGATATGGATTTGGCCAGAGCCCCTCGTCGCACCGCGCGTAGGAAGGGCTCTGGGTACGAGAATGGGCATCTATAGGAAGTTTTCTTACATTCCTAAAGTTATTTGTGCAGCCTGAAACGCAACAATTATAATAAGGCATCTTTGGATATATATTTACCTCGCTCACTATAACTTGTTGTCCCTCCAAACATCCCTCAAAACTTCAACTAGACCCAGTCCTCTGCTCGATTGGAAAATGGCTAATAGCACCATCCGAGTGCTTTGGCTTGGAATAAATTACCACCTAACTTGAACATATTGGTATCATTGGCATCTTATAAAAGTACTTTATAATTAAAAAGTGTGTAAGATATATAGCCATACTTATATATTTGTCCTGTTCATTATAATACTGTAGAGTGTAGTAGTTTATATATGTAATAATCTAGCACGGCTTGGAAAATCACTTTTTGAAAATAGTTTTCAACCGTGGATAAGTAAAGTTTTCATCATTATTAAATATTTTACAGCCAAAATTTCTCGGTATAGTATGCAGTTTCTTGGAAATCAAATGACCATCTACGTATAATTATACGAATAAAAACGTGCAGCACCATGTCATGCAATGTGTCGCTGTTGCTGCAGATTTGCATGTCAAGTTTCAATACAAACTATTGAAACCGGAAGAACTTATAATACTGTTTGTGGAAATACCACGTAAATTTATTTTCACGAAAGAACTTATTTCATACTGAAACAATGCCTCATATACCATGCCCCTTATCCAATAATCTTTCAAAGTACGAACATTTTTATGTAACCAAGTTTTGGACGCATTTTCGTTGTACATTCTTTGACAGGTCATAAACACATATAGGAGAAAAAAAAGGAGTGGGGTGGGCGTGTAATCGTTCGCCTAGGGGCATGGTCCCAGAACATTTTTTTGTGTTTTAAGGGAATGCGAAACGCTATTTCATGTATTTTAGATACGTTTTGTGATGACCTGAAAGGTACAGATTTGGTATATTTTATGTCATGGATGAAAAAATGAAGAGGTTATACACTCACTGGTTACGCCCTTCCCACTCCAGTTTTTCCCCCAGTTTTGAAAGACTTACAAAATTAGTCTTGAAAAAAAATGTGAAGGTGGTCTCAACCCCCCCCCCCCCCTTCCGGTGGCTACTGCATGCTCTGGCTACAATCTGGACACACGCAAAGTAATTTATTATTACTAAACCTCAAATCTTGGTTATTGCTATTTAATGGTGAAATTTAGACAGTTTGAAAAAATCGACAGCCTGCCACTGACGTAGCTTTACAAACACACATGCCAAGTATGCACAAAGTTTTAAAAAGTTAGAGCTATACCGATGTATATATTAATGAATAAATTCCTTATATAGGACAAATCTCTCTCCCACCTGGTGGTGACACCTTTGTTGTTCTCCCTGGAGAAAATGTGACAATAGCGTGGAAACTTGATACCAGCGTATCTCGTGTAGATTATCGATTGTCGGCATTTCTTCCTATGAACGACGGAAATTTTGCTAACATTGTTAATGATGGACATGTGGTTGAAAATCCCCAATACTCACCTGGGCCATTCAAAATAGCAAAGCCTTCAACGTTGATTCTAGAGAACGTTACTATTCAGCACAATGGAACATACAGATTTCTTGTTGTCGCAATGGGTCAAATCTATACATCTGAAGTTACTGTGTTTGTTGCGGGCAAGTGTCGTTTGTATATGATGCTACACCTTTTACCCTAGCTACTTTTTCAGGCATTGACAAATTTCCTTATTGTGATTGGTTCAAACAAGTAGAGAAGTGTGTGGATAATGTGTGACTGATTTGATTGACTGTTGCAAAACAAAAAGGCGTATTATATGCGTGTTGTTGAAGGTTCTTGTAACGGGAGTAACTCCAAAAAATACATTTTCTATACTACACATCATACATTAGAAAAGAACAAAACATGGAAAACATTACAAATAGAAATCCAAGTTGAAAGGGTTGCCAAAAAGAAATCATGAACAGCTGCATGCAAAAATTGCTCCAAACTGTAATACTACACCCGTTTTCAAAATTACGCGACCTCCCTGAAAAATACTCTTACTTCAACAGGCTATGTTTACATTGTATCGGATCACTTTGCATCCGAAGCAAAAACCATACCGGATAGGGCTTCTGTTTACATATGAAATGTTGTTATCGTCTCAATTTTTGCAACGAACCGGTGGTGCGGCGGTTCGCTCTTCGAAGTTGTGCGCGGTGTATCGGATCGGTTTTTGCAACGCTCTCATTGCAATGTAAACAGCAATCGGAGCAATTTTCGATCAATGCGTGATTCAAGATGGCATCTGGGAAACAAAGACTTGCTTTTCTAATTTTTTGCGGGTATAGCATGTTCACTTATTTAAATGATGTCTATAATATTTTTGTATTTAGCCTGTTTACACTTGGGCCGTAACGTTTCGTGAACGAAGCAAAAACCGATCCGATACAATGTAAACATAGCCCAAATGTCAGTTTTATGTCACAAAAACTGCTAAATTAAACCGTATTTAATACCAAAACTGCACAAAAATGAGTTAGTTAGATAACTTAGATATACAAACTAAAGCACAATACAAACCATCACAACAGAAATATGTGCCGTGAATAACTTTTAAAGCTTGAAAAATAACAATTTATCCTGGAATTTAGCTGTCAGTATAAAACACGCGCGCTAAACTATAACGGTGATGTTATGAATGATTTTGTTGTGCTTAAATTTTGCAATAATTCTCGCTAAAATATCTTGAAAATCATTGTAAGCCTGTTTATATAAAGCATACAAAGCATATACATCGACAAGGAACCGCAAAACTCAAAGTTTAAACTTCGTGACCGAATGACATAAACAGTTTTATACACATGTCAACTCTAGCATTTTCGTCCTTGGCCGCGTAATTTTGAAAACGGGTGTAAGTACAGAATACTGACAGCGGTGTGGGAATTAATGATTTTCTTACTGATTCCGACAATAAGTATAATATATAGAACACACGAGAGGAGGGGGCTGCACTACTTAAAGATCGAGGACAGGAGACCATGCCTCCCCCCCCCCGCGTTGAATAAATTTTGATGACGACAAAAAATTGGGATTGGTCGGGCAAAGGGCTATAGTCGAAATTTAATCGAAAATCATCTCAAAATCCTTTAATTTATGTTTGGTGCATGCAAGTAGTGAAAACGCATTTCGAAAAACCTACAGCATATGGCTTCATTACATTTCAGTTGCGCCAACTGTGACAATCAATTGTTCCAGCATCGTCAGAGTAAATGAAGGTGATGGCTTTGCGTGTGTATGTAGAGGTGAAGGTGGAAACCCTCCAGCCAATGTAACTTGGTATAAAGATGGCGACCCCATTGGTGGAACAGGAAACAAAGAACAGACATTAACTCTCAGGAATGTTCATGGAACAGACACTGGAACATACAAGTGTGTGGCCCAAATTCACACTCTAACTGATGAAAAATTAGTTGAAGGAAAAGTAATACTTGATTGTAAGTATTGTTGTAAAAATGAGCGTGTTTCCATGCAAATATTTGAACTGGTGCATGCATGGCGTATGCACATATATGCAAATTTATAAACTGTAAAAAGGACGTGCATGTTTGAACTAGTGCTGCGCATGTTTTGAAGTGAAGGTTATTATATAATAACAATTGCCGAAACCATATACTTTATACTATTTTGTTTTCTGCAGTTCCACCAGAAGAGCCATACTTTAAGGAAAAAGCGATTGTTGGTAAAACTTTTGCCATAACATGTGAATGCAGTGGTCATAGTACCAAGTTATACTATAATCCATAATAATACCAAGGTCGTCAGTAATGACAAGACGTATACCATAGATGTTGTGCAGTACAGTGATGCTGGGTTATATAAATGTATTGCCGAGAATAAACTTGGAAATAGTTCAACGATATATTATTTATCTATCCTAGGTAAGATTCAAAATTTTCAAACAAAAACTGTTTTTACAACTTATGTTCACCACCTCTCGTTTTACTACTTCTATTATTAGTGATTATACATTGTCTGCCGCATTCGCTTCAAAATTTCCACTGTAATGAAAGTGAAAGTGTAATAACAATTATTATATATCAATAGTCAAAGTCGCATTTTTCTAGTGTTTTATTGGTTGAGAGCATATCACGTGAGAGTGACGAAATTAGGCTGTCTCCCTCGCAACAGCGCGAGAGGGAGATAATACGTTATCGATGGGCGAATAACAAAAAAAATTACGTGCGCCACCACGTGAAGATGCGACCTTTGGACATTCCTAGTACGTAATTAAAACTTTCGCTTTAAGTAACTGCAGTGTAGCCAGTGTTTAATTTAACGTTTTAACGATAAAATATTTCATGTATTTACGTTCATTTGTTCTTTAATTTGTTGTTTCTTTGACTATTGATATATAATAAAACACTTATTTACTGAGACCTCGGGAAAGCAGTGTGTTTTGTGGACCCTCGACCGTCGATGTTTCCCTCGGCTTCGCCTCGAGGGTCCACAAAACACACTGCTTCCCTCGGTCTCAGTAAATAAGTGATAATTAACTCATTATGTTTAGATCAATTAATAAATCCGACAACTGGTATTAGCATTCAAAATTTCTCCACTACCGAGAATTCTAGATCAGGTAAGATTTGTACTTGTTCAGAAGTTATATACACTTTGTAAAAGCAAGTTGAACTATATATTTATTGGTGTAAACTATCTTCTAGTTTCTATAACAAGCTCCCCCTGCCCTGACCTGAGCAAACTAGTGTTATTTTGCTGCATGGTACAGATATTGCAGGGGGTTTGTTGTTTTACTACTACATTTATCGTTACTATACATGCATGGAGGTATAATCAAATTTGTGATCCGAGACCACTATAATAAACAACTCGAAAATCATAGCGGATTACATCTATTTCTTTATACCCTTTTTAAAGTTTGTATGGCGTTGTGTTTACCAGTTTCAAATATTTCTGTTCAATCAATACAGCAGCCAACAAAGACGATGATGGGACAACTGTTGTGGTATGGCATATTGTTGTGTCTTTGGTGTCCGGGATTATCATTGGTATTCTTCTTTCCTACATTGTCTCATGTTCTCGTCGTAAATTTAGAAGTAGGAAGCCTAAGTCAAACCCTGAATAAAAAACAACTGAAGTTGATACAACTTATCAAGAGCTTGATCTTTCAAAAATGAGCACAGAAGATAATTATCAGTCGTTGAGAGTGAATGCTGCAAGTTATGACGCTGGAAATCGAGCTGGAAATGACGATGACTCTACTTACACTGAGTTGAGCAAAACCAGAGATGTGGAATATCATTTTAAAGATAAAAAGACATCTCCGTCGGGATCACATTCATGTACTGGATGGATTAAACCCGCAGGAACCAGGGTAACTTTTAGAAATGCCTGCGGAGAAGGGCAGATTAATTAAAAGCCAAGGAAGATGTTTCTATTCAACAGTGGACCTGAGATTGTCCCAAGGTTCATTTTTATCGAATAAAAATAATTTTTTTTCTCCTCTGCATGGCTCTGGAGGTTTTCAGGAATGGCCGCGACTGCGGATTCTTTTATAAAACAAAATTAGCTTACCGCTTTTTGGACTTCATTGACGTGTTTAATATGCAAAGTGCGTTCGCCTTATCCTGAAAGATATTGCTACAATCCTATAGTTGTGGACAACCCACAAATATTGGCCTCGAATCGTGTTTCTCGAAATAAATACCCCCGCTCCCCCAAGCCAATTTTTGAATGGAATTTTCCATCAAATAAGAAGTGTAGATAATGCAGACATGCAACATTGGAGAGGGGGAGTGGGAGATATGCGTGTAAATCCACGTTTTAGGTGTTTGTCAGGATTTTTGCAAAAGTGAATTAGGTGTCCGCATGAACTTTGACCTGGATTGTAGTCTGATATAAATTGTAACATATCGGCATAGGTCGAGTAAATTTTAGGCCAAGTTTTTTTTATATATTTTTGAATATTTTATATTGTTGCAGCAATTTTTTCATTTTCCCTGAATATTTGCATCATATTTTTTCAAATTGCACTCTGCATGAATTTTTTTAGGGGAACATGCACCCCAACCACCCCATGACAACCACATATATTATCAGAAATGTTTCCTGGCTCTGGTTTGTAATCCCTCAATATGATACATTTACAACCACAACGCAATCCAGCTTGCATGTTTTAGCACGAAATACTTTATATTATTCATCAACATCGTTTTCTCTTTGACCTATGGCCTATGCAAATTTCAAATCACCATCCATTTCTTTAGAAATTGATTGTTTTCACGGTCTATATTTGCATAGCATGACCAAGTTGTCGGCTAGCTACGCTATTGCCTATGGCCATTGGTACTGGTTCCACAAATTTTCGTATTAAACTGTTTGATGATTTTTTCAGTTATCCTGCTAACAGTTAACATACATGTCCAATATCACGATGCGACACGGATCGTGAATATAGTTCACGATCCGTAACACATGGTGAAACAATCACGATGCGCCACGGATCGTGAATATAGTTCACGATCCGTAACACATGGTGAAAAAATCACGATGCAACACCGATCGTAAATATAGTTCACGATCCGTAACACATGGTCAAACAATTACGATGCAACACAGATCGTGAATGTACTTCACGATCCGTAACACATGGTAAAAAACCTCAAGCTGTGCATGTTTACCTCCAACAGTGCAACAAACACTAATCATGCAACTGATGCCCACTAAATCCGTACGATCCGTGCACATCGTGCTTATGGTGAAAATAAACAGATATTTTCATTCTTATTACTGTACATACGTTTACATTTTCATTTATCATGCAATGTGTTTTGTGTAGTGTGTATGCGTCGTTCTCCAAAAGGCGAAACTAAAAGGAATGAACATATATTTTCATTGTTATTACCTCATGTATATTATACATTCTAAATGGAACTTGCTTGGAACTTGCTTACAGAAGCCTGTACTCGTGAGGCTATTCAGTTATATCCTATATAGGTTTTATTTGGTTAGATTCTAAATGAGAATAGCCAGGAGATGTAGTTGCAACTCGCGCAGAAAGGCTTATTAATGAGTTATGAATATTTGCATGTATACCAATTCCATGCATACTTGCATAGAACACAGAATGTGTTTCATTATAAAAATTTAGGTTCAACTGATTAAGCAAAGATGACTACATCTTCTTACTGTGCTGAGTGGTTATATTACTACCTTAAAAAATAAGTAGAAACTCGACGTTTCGAGCGAAGGCCCTTCGTCAAGAACCTGTCAGCAAAAGATGACTGCATCTTTCTGAACACAAGAGTCTCCTCTAAATTGGTCTTTATAATATAAACACAAATTTGCGCTAGCTTTGGCGTTTGCAAACTGATTTTAAAACAAAAAGATTTCGTGTACTGTTTGCGGTCTCTAGTCTTGATATAGCCATTCTATATTTAGCTGGCCAGTAATTCTAGTCAGTACAATTCGCGCAGAAATAAGGCTTGTTGAATTATAACTATGATAATACAGACCTATATATACCGTATCAGCTGCAACCGCAATATCATACTGGCAACGATTCATGCATAATAGGATGTGTTTTACTATATTATAAAAGTTTAGGTTCAACTGATTAAGCAAAGATGACTACATCTTCTTAACCTGTCAGCAAAAGATGACTGCATCTTTCTGAACACAAGAGCTAGTCTCCACTAAATTAGTCTTTATAATATAATCACAAATTTGCGCTAGCTTTGGCGTTTGCATACACAGTGATTTAAAAACAAAAATATTCCGTGTACTATTTGCGGTCTCTCTTGATATATACATTATATTTCACTATTTGGCTGGTCCATTCTAATCAGTACAGTTCGCGCAGAAATAAGGTTTGTTAAATTATAACCATGATAATACGGACCTATTGTATATAGCCTAAGCAGGCTATAGCCTATTGTACAGTAGCTGCATGCAACCGCAATATCATATACAATGATTCATGCATAATAGGATGTGTTTTCATTGTAAAAATTTAGGTTCAACTGATTAAGCAAAGATGACTACATCTTCTTAACCTGTCAGCAAAAGATGACTGCATCTTTCTGAACACAAGAGTCTTCGCTAAATTGGTCTTTATAATTAATATAAACACAAATTTGCGCTACTCCGTGTACTGTTTGCGGTCTCTTGATATACCTATATATATATTCTATATTTGGCTGGCCAGTTCTAGTCAGTACAGTTCGTGCAGAAATAAGGCTTGTTGAATTATAACTATGATAATACAGACCTATATATAGCTACCGTATCGGCTGCAACCACAATATCATATAAAATGATTCATGCATAATAGGTGTATGGGTAGTTATTATATTATAAAAATTTAGGTTCAACTGATTAAGGAAAGATGACTGCATATCTTCTTAACCTGTCAGCAAAAGATGACTGCATCTTTCTGAACACAAGAGTCTCCACTAAATTAGTCTTTATATAATATAAACACAAATTTGCGCTAGCTTTGGCGTTTGCACACTGATTTTAAAACAAAAAGATTTCGCGTACTGTTTGCGGTCTCTAGTCTTGATATAGCCATTCTATTTGTCTGGCCAGTTCTAGTCAGTACAATTCGCGCAGAAATATATACGGCTTGTTGAATTATAACTATGACAGAAGCCCATGCATATGCTTGCCTCAACAGTGTCACATAAATTGAAACACCAAGCAAGCTATTGTAGCTGTAATCAATTGGGGCTATGTCCTGTATGGCCACCATTTGCTAATGTAAATACTTTAATAACAATAAAGTGATTAAAAAATATGGCTAATCTAGGCTGGGTTAACTCCATATAAACAGACCAAAAGTAAGCTGTCAGTCTGTCTTAGAGTGAAAGACATCTTCCAAAAGTTTTTTTTACAAAGCTCAATGTCATGATAGCAAAAATTTTATTATAATACAAGAAAATGGAACATACCATAGTTAATAGAATAGATGGTTTGGAAACTCATTAGAATAACAATATATATACCTCATTATCTACAGGTATGCTAGTCAACGTTTACAGAGGTGTAACTTAACACTTGCCCGGGGCAAGTGAATATCATGACGGGCAAGTAAACGTTTTATCTTGCCCGATTGGGCAAGTTCCCTCTTGCCACAAAAAGCTCGGCTTTCATTATCGGATAATTTTTTTATGGCGCATGTACTTGATTGAAATTTTGTTTTTTTGTGGGCCAAAGCTAGATCTAAGGCAGTATAACATAGCCACATAGAGAATGAGTCGACATGTTGCCCCCTTGATTTATACCCCCTGGCAAATGAATTTTATTCAGGGCAACTAATTTTCATGTCCAATTAACTTGCCCTGAGAGCAAATGGTCAAAAAAGTAAAGTTACACCACTGGTTTATTCATAAATCTGGCCTCGGTATTTTTGCCCAACTAACCAATAGCAATGTCTTAGGAAAGTTACCTATCCGTAACTCGAACAATAGGGTAAATTGAAAATTGCAAGAATACAAGGTGGATTTGGCAAGAATACAATACACACAAGGATGAAGGACCAGATTTATGAATAAATGTTGACTAACATAAATAATGAGTTTGAGAGTTTCAGCCAAACCATCTATTCTATTAACTGTGATGGAACTCATTATGTGCAGATTTACTAAATGGATGAGCTAATTTGATTGAAGTCAACTGCTACTAATGGGCAATGGTCTATTTGTGTTAATTAATTACCTAGGTGACTAGGTCTAACATTTATTAATTAAACAACAAGTATATTGTGCTCCTTATTCATTGTTAACAAAAATTTGAAAGAAAAATTGCCTATTCACATTGTAAGGCTAAAATTATGTACATAATTTCAGTAATAAATAAAATAAACAACTTTACCAAGGACAAGTCAAGTGAGTCTTTGTGGATATAGACCATATAGTGACAGTCTTTGCAATTTCACATCAAGGTGAGGCCAAAAACCCAAAAGTTGGCGCAATAAAGAATAGTAGATTAGTTCCTGATTATATACAAACATTTATTATTACCTTTTGCATTTTAATATTGTGAAAAAATATCTATATTTTTATTTCTGTATATTTTCCTCAGAAGAATGATAAAAATGCGTAATACCGCGTGCAACCCCCCTGCTAAGAGACTTGAACTAGTACAATAATTGTATATAACATGAAGTTTCCTGAACAAAATGGCGGAAATGTTAATAAAAAATGTTGATGTTTGATCGTAAAATACAAAAAAACTGCAGGTTTGTGCGAGTGACAACAAGTGAATTCGTACTCAGCGTATAAAAATGTATAGATTCGTGTGAATTTAAAGTAGTGCCCGAAGGGGGGCAACAAAACTGAACGAAAAGCGGTCAAATATGTTTCTGAAACAGTT